CTGTATTCACATTAAGCTTTTCACTCATATGAGGCTAGAGTTTATTTCTAACTGGGATGAGAAGACAAATGTGTGCCCTCACAATGTCTCTGTATGTCTATAAACAACTGGAGTGGAACTTCACGGACAGTTTGCACCTGCAGTTTTGTTTACAGTGTGTGAGAGAAGAAGGAAAATGTTCCTCCAGCTAGAAATACTGATAAAGCAGAAACAAACTATATAACTGAAAACTAGAATCAAGAATGTCCCACCCTCTTCTTAGCAAAAATAGTACCTTCTTCTTTGGAAATGACTCTTAATTGAATTGTGCCCAATTATTTTTCTAAGAATGTTTGCCTTAAAATCATTTTGATATTTGATATTTGTTAAACCCCTATTGTTATGTACACAGTTTTGTGCTAGATAGACATTTATAGACATAACTGTGGGAAGGAACAAAATTATGAACTGTTAGAAGATATGATTTTCAAGTAGCAGTGGGCTCCGGGAGGTGATGGCATCAGAGTTGGGCCTTGTAGGATAAGCAGAATTTCCACACGTGGAGAGGAAAAAGAAGGGCTTCTCAAAAACAATGTGAACAAAAACATGGAGGCAACAGCTGTAGGATATGTTTATATAATCCAGTAATGCTCAACCCTAGCCAAGAGGCAAGGTTACATGAAGAAAAACATAATTTTTTAAGGAAAAGTCCTAAGAGCCCTACCCATGGAGATCTAATTCACTGAGGGTGGAATAAGGCCCAGACACCTATGTTCTTCTGAAAGCCCTTGGATGATTCTGATGCACACTCAGCATTGGAAACCAGTAATGTGGTCTATTGTGTAACGAGGCTGTAAGGGGTATGGGAGTGCTGTGGGAGGTGATGCTGAAAAGGATATTGGAGCCAGATGATAGATAACTGAAGTAATGTCGTTTGGATATAGCAAGTTTGCTTGTTTGTTTGTTTTTTATGTTGTGTTGTTGTTAGGTGCTGTTGGGTCAGTTTTGACTCAAAGTAGCTCTGTACAAGTGAACAAAACACAGCCCAGTCCGGCACCATCCTCACAATCATTGCCCTGCTTGAGCCCATCGTCACAGCCAACTGTGTCAATCCGTCTCCTTGAGGGTCTTTACCTTTTTTGCTGACCCTTTGTTTTGCCAGGCATGATATCCTTCCCCAGACACTAGTCCTTTCTGACAACATGACCAAAGTTTAAGAGACAAAGTCTGGCAGTTTCACTTCAAAGGAACATTCCAGTTGTACTTCCTCCAAGACAGATTTGTTCATTCTTCTGACATTCAGTATGTTTCACCAACACTACAATTCAAATGCATCAGTTCTTCTGCAGTCTTCCTTATTCATTTTCCAGCTCTCACATGCCTATGAGGCTATTGCACATACCATGGATTGGGTCAGGTGTTTTTTTAGCAACTAGAAATCCTTTAAACAAAACTCTACCCTTTGTGTGAATTCATAGCAAAACGTGTTAAATGAGATGAAAAGGAAGGACAAACAAATATAGATATACCTGTCAAGAACCTTGTTCCTGTTTGATATTCCCATATAACCACCCCACAACTTAAAACAGCCACCGTTATTATCACCTATAATCCTGTGGTTGACTGGACTCAGCTGGAAGGTTCTTCTGCTCTGTGTAATGTTTGCTTGAGACTGCAGTTACATGAGGGATCAGTTGAGCTCAGATGCCCAAGATGGCTCATGTGGTAGGCATTTAATGCGGGCTTTTCACAGCTTAACAACTGGGTTCCACAAGGAATTGTCTCAAGAGCAACTATTCAGAAAGATCCAAGTTGCAAGATTTCTTTTGACCTAGCTTCGATAGTCCAGAACCTCACTCCACCATATTCCATTAGTCACGGATGTCACTAAGGCCAGCCCAGGAGCAGCATATGCATACAGGAAGAGAAGGAACCTGATGGCAGCTATTTTCAGAGACTTGCTACCACAATCTTTATGTACCAAATAACTTAGCATCAAAATATGTACAGCAGAACTTCAGGAAATTTAGATAGATGTTAACAGAAATAGGCAAAATGATAAGTAAAAATAAAAGGGATCTGAATAATATAAAATGTTTATGTAACAGGTTTCTGTATTGAACTCCTTATCTGACAATAAAGAATATACCTTTGTTTTAGGCATCTATGGAATATCTGCTTCCCCACCCTCCACACACACACACACACACACACAAAAAAAAAAAAAAAAAAAAACCACCACTTGAACTCCTATTTTCTCTTAAAAACCCAAAGCCTTAACAATTGATATGTTTTCCTGATCCCTCAACCTGACAGAAATAGTAACAGATTTGTTTGTTTCATCTTTTATTGTGCACAGCTCTATGTTAAATGGGATTTTCCTCATTTTGGAATCCCTTTCTCTGAATGAGATTTTTACATACAGTATAAACAGTTATGGATTACATATTCTCTTGAGTCCTTTTCCCATTTTTGAGTTGTTTTCTAAAAAGGGGAACATTGAAGGCAGGCTTTATTTTGATTCCCCACAGTCTCCTGATAAGAGTAGTTTTGACTTGTCCTGGGTGCTTTGTCGTTTCAGGGTCTTCATACACCAGCCACTGCAATTATGCTCTAATTTTTCTTTAATACTGACTTGGAGACTGAGCTGGAATCATTGCTAACACCTGTTTTCCATGTATTGTTTTGAAGCTTAGGGGGAAAACTCGTGTGTGTGTGTGTGTGTGTGTGTATGAGAATGTGTGTACATTTAACTAAAGTTAAAACTATTTCTACACCAGTAATAATAGCAAAGTTCAAAAAAAAAAAAAAAAAACAGAAAACAATACATGCTGACAAGGGCATGGAGAGACTGCAATACTCATGTACTGCTGATGAGAATATAAAATGGTATAACCACTGTGGAAAACAGTATGGTGCTTCCTTAAAAAGTTGGAAACAGAAATGCTGTATGATTTAGCAATCCCACTACTAGGTATATATCCTAGAGAAGTAAGACCCATGACATGAGCAGATATACGCACACCCACGTTCATCACAGCATTATTCACAATAGCGAAAAGATGGAAACAACCTAAGTGCCCATCAATATATGAATGAATAAAAAAAAACTATGGTAAATACACACAATGGAATACTATGCAGCATTAAAGAGTAACAGTGAATCTGTGAAACACTTCATAACATGGATGAACCTAGAGGACATTATGCTGAATGAAATTAGTCAATGACAAAAGGGCAAATATTGTATGAGAGCACTACTGTAAAAAGTCAAGGAAAGATTTACACACAGAAAGAATCATTCTTTGAAGATTACCAGGAGTGAGAGGGAGACAAAGGGAAAATCACCAACTGGAGAGTAGATACATACTAACTTGGGTGACTGTTGTTGTTGTTGTTGAGTGCTTTCGAGTCGGACCCGACTTATAGTGACCCCTCCTTGGGTTTCCAAGGCAATATCACTATGGAAGTAGATTGCCCAACCTTCCTTCCAAGGAGTGGCTGGTGGGTTTGAACCACCAGCCTTCTGGTTAACAGTCAAGTGCCTTAGGCACTATGCTACCAGAGCTCCTAACTTGGGTGAAGGGAAGGGCAATATATAATAAGGGGGAGGTAAACACAAAATGATCAGAGCAGAGGAAGGCAGTGGGAGAAGCATGAATTAATGGCAGCAAAGGTAAATACTATTACATACGCAATTCTGCAATAACAGTAATAACAGTAATCCACAAGTGGATACACAGATAGACACTCGAGCTGAACAGTGGTGGAAAGATGAATGGGACTATGCCCATGAATATATATAGGTTTGACAGCATATTTCTACATATGTAATTATATGTGCTGCAAATATATCCATGAATATAATAGCACATAGAGGGGGGCAAACTTATGAAAACTTCTTAGCCATAACCAAATACCTTAAGAAAATGAGTTGCTCGGCCTGGGGGCTCAGGACATAGTCTCAAGGGACACTAAGATCAATTAGCATAACATATTCTACAAAGACAGTGTTCTACATCCTACTTTGTTGAGTGATGACCGGCGTCTTAAAAGCGTGTGAGCAGCCATCTAAGGTGCAACTATTGGCCTCTCCCTGTCCAGAGCAAAGAAGAGTGAAGAAAATCAAAGACAAGGAAACAATTAGTGCAAAGGAACTAAACCCAAGTGAACTCAAGCTTACATGACCCTGAGACCAGAAGAACTAGATGGTGCCCAGCTACCACTGCCGTCTGCTCTGAAAGGGATCAAAATAGGAGATCCTGGATAGAGTGGGAGAAGAATGTGTTTCAAAACTCAAAATCCTAAAAAAACGATCCAACTTACAGATCTGGTAGAGATTGATGGAGCCCGCAAGACTATGGCCCTTAGACACCCTTCAGGCCTAGAGTAGAACTCACCCAAGGGGTACAACTTACAGCCAAATGATTGGCCTATAAGGTGAATAATAATAACACCAGAGAGGTACACACTCCTTAGAACAATCAACCACAGGAGATCAAAAGGGCAGCACTTGGCCTGGGGATAAAGCTCAGAAGACAGGGAAAGAAGGACGAGTGGAAACAGTGAACACGGAGGAAGCGTGAAGAGTGCTGTTAGACTGTGGGCATTGCAATCAATGTCACAAAACAAAACGTGTATGAATTGTTGAATGAAAAGCCGATTTGCTCTGTAAACTTGCACCGTCATCACAATAAAAAATAATAATAAAACTATTTCACCTATTTAAAGATAAGTTTGTTTGTTTGTTTGTTTGAAGTCTTTGCTGTTCTTTCTGAAACCCTTGTCATTTTGCCATCTAGGTAAGACAAAGTCTGAGGTGGAATTCAGGTAGTACAGATGATGTAATTTCCTGGCCTGTCAGTGATGAATCCTGTTTACTTACTGCTTCTATCTCAGTGTCTCCATATGATTTATAGGAATCCTTGCCTAACTGGATCTTGGCATTAAACCATCCAGGATAAGGAGTTTAAACAAATAGCCATCTTCTTCAGTAACGCTGAGTCCGTTTGCCGTTGCAGGTCGTCACGCTGTGGTACAGAGCTCCAGAAGTCTTGCTTCAGTCCAGCTACGCCACTCCCGTGGATCTCTGGAGTGTTGGATGTATATTTGCAGAAATGTTTCGTAGAAAGTAAGAAATGCATTTTGTTTCACTCTGTTTTCCTTGACAAGAGACTTGGGATCTTCGGTAGTTTATGTGGCAACATAGCACTTCTGTTTCAAGTAGACTCATAACACCCAAATCCAACTGTTTGGGCCACTGCTTCCAAGCCTGTCCTGAAATCACCTTCTCAGTCGTTACAATGTAGTTTTATGTGACTCTAGCTTCCAGCTCCCGGAAACTGTTTGGGAAGGAAGACTCCACTGTTCTTAGGGTTTGCATTGTTTATGTTGGTGATGCCAAAACATGGTGAGCATACAGCATATTAGAGTGACAGAATATTTCAGTGACGGAATATCCTCAGATTATAGACTCTGTCCATATGAGAAGGACCAAGACTATTAAGTATATGGAAAATTTGATGGTGAGAATAAAAAGAAGAGAGAATGTTTAGGTCAAAAAGGAATAAGGAAGGAAGATGGCAGTGCTATTTTAGAATATGTTAGACACTGTCATGTGGAGGAGAAATTAAACATGTCTGAGGTACTATAGAGAGCAGACTAGGAGTTGGGATACAGAAATTACAGCAATTTTTGCTCAAGGTGGGGGAAAATTAACCATGAGACTGTTACCTGAAGAGAAGAGGGAGGTCTTGTAAAAATAGTACATGCTCTCATTGGATGTCCAAGAAGAGGCTGGACCACCACTGGAGATTATTTTAGCAGCATTCATAGAATAGGTGGATGGGCTAGATGGCCTCCAAGGTCTCTTTGACCCTGAAAATCTGTGATTCATTTGTTTGACTTTCAAGTCATGAGCAGTAGCCAAACAATATAATAAAGATCTGCCAGGACAATAATCCATACCTGTGTACTAAAGTCAGCCTGGTCAAAATTAAACAGAGAATGCAATTGTAATCTAATCTCTCTTTCCTTTCTTTTCTGTTTTTATTTCCATGGAAAAATGTGCGTTGGGAAGCTGAGCATATTTACACTGAACATGTTATGTTCAAAATGACAGCTAGCTTTCAAGGAAAAGGAGTGGTCAGCCATTGTTTGCTTTCTTGTTTGTTTTAACAAAATAAAGTTTTATACATGTGATAAATGTTGGGAACTATTTCTAGAACTCAACTAATTCATCTGTATCTTAAAATAGAAGAGTCCAAGAGAGGATCAGGGCAAAGGAGTTAGAGCATACAGATGTGCCAAGCACAGTGCCCAACCTCATCCCTGTTACCTTATGTAATCCTCACAATAAGAGGAAACTGAGATGGACTGGTAAATTTACTGGTGGTGCAACAGTTTTAAGCTCTTGGCTGCTAACCAAAAGGTTGTCTATTTGAATCTACCCAGAGACTCCAAGGGAGAATGACTTGGCAATCTGCTCACTAAAGATGACAGCCAAGAAAAGGCCATGGGGGCAGTTCTATTGTCAGTTGGGCACTGTGAGTCAAAATTAATTCCACGTACCTAACAACAACAACAAGGTCAGGCGACTAAAAAGCATCAGGGGTGTGGTTTAAAAGAAACCTTATGAGTCCAAATCCAATGTTGCTTTTCTACCAGCAAAAAACAAACCCACTGCCATCAAGTCAATTCCAATTCATAGAGACCCTATAGGACAGGGTAGAACTGCCACATAGGGTTTCCAAAGACTATAAATCTTTACAGAATAAGACTGTGTTGTCTTTTCTTTCTCCCAAGGAACAGTTGGTGGGTTCAAACTGCCGACATTTCAGCTAGCAGTTGAATGCTTTAGCTGCCGCACTACCAGAGCTCCTTCTGCTACCAGGTAGGGCAGGAAAAAAGTAGTATTGAATTCAGCTTTCATGTTTGCCAAACCAGCTAAATAAGTGTGGGATGGGGGCAACATCAGCATCTCCTGGGAGTTTGTTAGAAATGCAAATTTCAGGTCCTACCCCAAACCTACTGGATCTGAACCTGGGAGGTTGTTGTTGTTATGCCCCCTTGAATAAGACCCAACTCATAGCAACCCCTCCTTGGGTTTCTGAGGCAGTATCACTATGGAAGTAGATTGCCCCATCTTCCTTCTGAGGAGTGGCTGGTGGGTTTGAACTGCCAGCCTTCTGGTTAGCAGTCAAGTGCCTTAGGCACTACACTACCAGAGCTCCTACATACAATCACCAATTAAATATAAACATAAAATTGTCACAATGCCTCAGAGACAACAGAACATCACAGAGCACACAAAGAAGCAAGATAAAGCAGGAGAAACAAGGGACCAGGATACAGACCCAAAACATATCCCTGAGGAAGATGCAGCATTGGAACTCCTTGATAAGGAATTCAAAAGAATTGTATTTAGGTATCTTCAAAGCATTGAGAGATAGATCAAGGAAAACATGGACAAAACTATGGAATAATTTTGGAAGAAAATACAAGAACAAAATAAATGAAAAATTAGAAATGATTCAAAATCTACAGATAGAAATCCAGAAGATTAATACTAAATTGTCAGAAATAGATAACACATTGAAAGGGCAAAGGAGTAGAATTGATGCAATGGAAGACAGAATTAATGAGATTGAAGACAAATACCTCAGTACTTCTATGGAAAGGAATTAATCAGAAAAAAAGATCAAAACAAAATGAAGAAATCCTAAGGTTCATGTGAGATACCATCAAAAGGAATAACCTACATGTCATTGGAATTCCACAACATGAAGAGAAAAATAAAACCACTGAGAAAATTGTCCAAGATTTGTTGGAAGAGAACTTCCCTGATATGATGAAAGATGATAATATATCCATTCAGGAAGTCCAGCGAACCCCAAACAGGATAGACCCCAAAAGAAAATCACCAAGACATATCATCATAAAACTCACCAAAACCAAAGACAAAGAAAGAATCATGAGAGCAGCACAGGAAAAACAAAAAGTTATCTACAAGGGGCAACCAGTAAGACTAAACTCGGATTTCTCAGCAGAAACCATGCAGGCAACAAGACTAAGTTTTTGTTGTTGTTATGTGCTATCGAGTCAGCCCCAACTCATAGCGACCCCTCCTTGGGTTTCCAGGGTGGTATCACTACGGAAGTAGATTGCCCAACCTTCCTTCCCAGTACAATGGGATGGTGTATATAAAACCCTGAAAGAGAAAAATTTCCAACCAAAAATTATGTACCCAGCAAAATTGTCCCTCAAATATGATGGTGAAATTAGGACATTTCCAGATAAGGAGAAATTAAGGGAATTTGTTAAAACCAGACCAACCTTACAAGAGATGCTAAAGGGAGTCCTTTGGACAGAGAAGCAACAACAGCAAACAACAACTGACCATTAATACACATGATGATATAACCCAGAAACCAACCCAGCTGTGGAAGTATCCAAAGTAAATAAGCCTACAAGATTGTAAACAGGGAACCAAAGACATCAATTGGCAAATGAACTACAAACCAAAAAGAGGGAAAAAAACTGTGTCGTTACAGAACTTGATGGTAGGAATGTCAAGACAAGTACAAGATACAACAGATTGTTCTAAACTTGGGAAGAAAACTATAAATCACAGGGTAACCTCAAAGAAAAATGATAAACTTTCACATCAAAATTAAAAAAAAAAAAGAGGACCAGCACAAATACTTAGCAAATACTAAAACAATAACAATGAAGGAAGTGATGACATGATTCATAAACAAAGCGAGCTCAGCATTGAAAATTGTATGGAACAAAGATATCCACACTACAGAAAAGCACATAACATAAATGACAGCAACAAATTCATATTTGCCAATAATTACATATCTGGCAAGGGACTTACCTCTAAGATTTATAGAAAACTCCAGTGCCTCAACAGCAAAGGAATTAACAATCCAGTTGAAAAATGAGCAGAAGACATGAACAGACATTCAGGTGGCCAGCTAATACATGAAGAGATGCTCACAACCATTGGCCATCAGAGAGATGCAAATCAAAACAACAATGAGATACCGTCTCACCCCAGCACTGATGGCAAGGTTCAACAAGACAGAAAATGACAAATGCTGGCAGGGATGTGGAGAGATTGGGACTCTCATACACTGCTGGTGGGACTGTGAAGTGATACAACCACTGTGGAAAGCAATATGGCGATTCCTTAGAAAGCAGGAATTGGAGATACCATTTGACCCAGCAATCCCATTACTAGGTATATATCCTACTGAGGTGAGAGCCAGGACAGGAATAGATATATGCACACTTACGTTCATCGCAGCACTATTTACAATAGCAAAAAGATGGAAACAACCTACGTGCCCATCAGCAGAAGAGTGGATGAACAAACTATGGTACATACACATAATGGAATGCTATGCAGCACTAAAGAATAATGTAGAGTCTGCAAAACACCACATAATATGGATGGAGGACATTATGCTGAGTAAAATAAGTCAATCACAGAAGGACAGATATAGTATTAGTTTGTTGTTGCTGTGGAGGGTCAAGGAAAGGTTTATATATGGAGGGAAACTTTCTTTGTTGGTTGCCAGGGGTGGAAGGGGGGGGAGGGAACACTGCAAAAAAATAAAAAGCATTGACCCATGTCACTTTAGTTTTAGTGTATTTAGTGTATTTCACTGTACATAAATTATATTTCAATAAAATGCATTAAAAAAAAAAAGAAAGAATTCAAGTCTCGTACTTTGCTCACATTGTCAGGAGAGGCCAGTCCCTGGAGAAAGGTGTCATGCTTGGAAGCTTAGAGGGTCAGTGAAGAAGAGAAAGAAGCTCAACAAGATGGTTTGACACAGTGACTGCAGCAGTGGGCTTAAGCATAGCAGTGATTTTGAGGATGGCACAGTGAGAACTGTTTCATTCTGTTGTGCATAAGGTTGCCATGAGTCAGAACCAGCTTGATGGCACCTAACAACAACAAAACGGGGCAGGGCAGGTGACACAAGTGCTTTGCATTCCACTGGCCCAATGATTAAGCATTTGACTGCTAACCAGAAGATCAGCAGTTTGAACCCCTAGTGCTCTGAGGGAGAAAGATGTGGCAGTCTGTTTCTGTAAAGGTTATAGCCAAGAAAACAC